ATATTATATTTTTATATTGCAATACCGCTAAAGCGTTCCATCTCGTATTCAGTATAATGTAAAGTTTGTTTGAAGAGTATTGGAATTCAATTTTGGTGAAACCAAAGCTGGATTTTCAGCCTTTTTTAATCGTGGAAGTGACCGGTTTCAGTAAATCAAGGGGCGGTGTCAGGATAACTTAGCAGTACTTTGGTGACGAACGCAATATCCTCTCAACACCTTTTCCGCTACTGGGAAACAATCTAAAACTTTCGGGGATTGTATTTTTTTTTTCTTTAATTTATTCAACTTCAATGTTCTTAAATCTACCCTCGATAACAGGAATTAAAAACGTACATTTCAAACTACTTCATTACTTTTAGTACAAGTCATTACACGGTTTTGTTATCCCCAGGTGTGGATATTTTATCAAGTTTGAACTATTTTTCAGTCCTAAGGGTCGGGAATTTGACCAAAAAACCCGGGGAGGTACTCCCTTATAAGGCCTTAATCGGGACGTGCGGCCAGCCAGGGTATGTTTTGCGGCATGATTTTTGTCTTAGCAGGGTATCGATTTTATCAATTTTTGTCTTAAACAGTGTATCTTTTCTTGGACGATAAACAGCCCGCGCGTATGTCCTACGAACTAAACTACGACTCTATTGATCAAGTTGTAAATAGTTTTTTAAATAAGAAAGAGTTTCGATATTTGTTATTGTCTTACACAAGGTATGGTTTCGGGTTAAATGTCTTAAACAGGGTATCAAAAATCGGAATTCTGTCTAAAACAGGGTAGGAAAATCAGCGATTTTTGTCTTAAACAGGGTAGGGGTATGAGGGGCCGGGCCGCACCTCCCCACCCAAGGATATATCGAGTACCCCCCCGGGCCAAAAAATGCAAAAAAATTCAAAGTGCGCACCTTTGCCTGTACCCCCGCCCCTCCCTGTCTTAACATTGATACCTGCATTAGCTTCAAGCTGCTAGAAAATCGCACGATTCTGAGATGGTCACGTTAGTCTCTTAAACGTTAAGTTTACTGTGTAACCCAACTTACTTTCATGCGAGTTACTGTGAAACATCCTCAAGATCAGGTCAAACGCTGCTTCATGACGGCGAACTGCGTTTCGTAGCTCTGCATTTGCTTCTCTTTCTCGAGACAAGACTTGAAGCGTATGTCGATGAGTGCGTAGCACGATCTCGACGTGAATCAGTGCCACAAAGCAGACAGCAATGGCAAAAAATATTGATGAAAACATCACAGTTTTGGAGGTTGGACGGGGCTTTGATATCTTTGCAGTCTCCATGATAAACCTGCTTTAGAGTTAGATGTTGTGCATCCTTACTGTTATATTGTAGTCATAAACTTATCTGATTTTCGTGTATCTGACCCAGTTCCGGTTGAAACAATACAAATAATAATAATAATAATAATAATAATAATAATAATAATAATAATAATAATAATAATAATAGTAATAATAAAACAGGTAGCTTTTAAGGCAGGTTGATACTCATTTGGGGTCCTTTTTCTTTGTTTTTAACCGACACTTCTAATGAATTTTGCCGCGTAAATATCAGGGGCATTGCAGAGATAATCTAAACATGAAAACTGAGGTTGAACATATATGAATAATTTTTGGGAGTGTGAGTCGTGTGAATGTTGATTCTTTGGGGTCATAAGGTGAAATAGCGTATCCCATGTTGAATCGGCAATAATTAGTCTCAGCTTGTGGACGCTTTAGTAGGAAAAAGACGATTCGAGAGGCAAAA